AGATTAAAGAGAATCCTTAATTTGCAACTAAAGAGAATCTTTCCTTAATAGCCATAAAAATTCTAAAGAATTCAGATATAATCCTAAAAGAAAGTACAATGGCTTTATAGAGAAAATCTTAATAATTAATAGATTTTTAAAGAGAATAAAAGTGTTTTCTAGGTTGAATTTAAAATCTTAAGGAAAACCATGTTCATAAATTTGTGTTTTTGGTATGCTAAATATTAATTTCACACTCAAAGTAACTATAACTACTTTTTGGTATACAGCAAAGTCAGTCCAGGATAAATCAAAAACACCTACACTGACAAATAAATACATATTGACAGACACTTGTGCATCCTTAACTGACAGAACACTCTTTACTGTGGTGGAAAAGAAGCAGCTTCCATCCCTTCCACAACCCCAATAAACGAATCGACTTTTCACACTTGTTCACTCACCATCTGGTTTGGTTACTCCCCATCCTGTAGCCCAGCAACTCAAATTGCGAAGGTTCATGTCTGGAGTGGCAAGACACACTGGGAGTACAGAGTCAGAAAACTCAATCCGGCTTTTCAGCTGCACCACAGCAATGTCACCTCCATTAGGGTGGGATACTGTGTAAGCAGGGTGAATGATCACCTTATTCACCTCAAACCACTGGGTGTGACTGCTTGCAGCATTTTGTTTGATGAGACCCACGAACACATCAAATCCTTTGGTATTCAGTCTCCTATGTGACAGAGGAACAAAGGCACAGTCCCTCCAGGCCTGGGGAGACCACTATCAGCTCAGAGCCCAGTAAGACCTGAAGTTGGTTCTGAGCTGCCAGCTTCCCCTAGCCTGAATTGGTAAAAGTGTGTCTCTTGCACCACAGTAGGGCAAGTATACAAGAAGCCCCGCTTAGTCTCTTATCCCTAACAGCAGTCTTTAGGTGGTGGAATCAGCTAAGCATTCAATTACTAGCCAAAAGGTTTGCAGTTCAAACCCACTAAAAGGTGTCTCAGAAGACAGACCTGGCAATCTGTTTCTGAAAGGTCACACACTTAAAACCCTATGGAGTGGTTCTACTCTGCACACATAGGATTACCTTGAGTCCAGACTGACTGGACAGCAACTAACAACAATAATCACAGATAATAGCAGATCTGACAGGGAGCAATCCACCCTGTTGGCAAGGGAGCTGTAGTGAACAAAGCTATGGTCAGGGGCCTGCTTGCTCACATTTCACCCACCTTAGAGAGGTCTTACCTGGTAATCTATTCCAAGATGTCCCCATATTGCCCACCCCAGAGGCTAGCAGGCGTACTTTTCCTGACACTCACGCGAAGCAGTGGGCCGCAGACAGGATCCAGTATTCGTTGAGGATGGACCCGCCACAGATATGTAACCCACCGTAGTGCACGCTGACCTGCCATGGCCACCTATTCTCCACGGCAGACGTGCCCCCTATGACTCTTTCTTGTATGCGACGGTGGCCGCAGGCTGAGGGGAGAGACAAATGTAAGTAAGGCACAGAGAGAGATGTGGGGGGGCAGAGAGGGAGCAACGTCTGAGGCTGAGGCAGAGAGAGGAAAACAGAAGGGCTCAGAGAAAGAGGAACCAACGAGGCTCTCGTTCTAACTTCAACCGACAGAAATGAGGTAACCTCCGGATCCCAGCATCTGGGAGGCGCCAACCAAGGCCTGAGGGGCAGCCCACCCTCCTAGCCTTTACCAGGGGCCTCTCTGCCTGAGGAGTGGGATTTCAGGGACCTGGGGGCGGGCCGTGGCCCTCCCCGCAGTGGCAGCAGCAGCAGAAATAGCAGAACTGAGCGACTCAAAACCCCTAGCCTAGAGCGGAGGAGGGAAGAAGTGGCGGCCATGAGGCTGAGGCGCCACTACTGGCTGTAGAGGCAACGTGGAGCCTGACCACGTCATGACCAGGGTACTCCATCACGTAACTGAGTTGGGGGGAGGAGGAACACACATGCCACTGCCTTCATGACATTGCCCCAAGACCCCACAAGTGTTAGCCCCTTATACACACACACACACACACACACACACAGGCATACACACACAACACTGCCTCCAGACCCAGCACGTGTGGCCACCCACTCTCACACACATGCACACACACACAACAAAGTCCCTTTTGCACACACATACAATGCCTCCAGCTGCAATACTTGCAGGCCTTCTTAACACACACACACATACACACACACGTGACAGCACCCCAGACTGGAAGGTGCCAGCCCCTCTTCATACAGACATACACACACACAACAGAGCCCCCTTTACACACACACATAAGTGACATATCCCCTGTGCAAGGACACCACCTCCCCTTATACACACACACAAACATCCCCTACAAGTGACAGGGTCATTCACTCATTTCTGCATAGCTGTCTGGCAATGGTCTCTCTTCCTTGATGTTTGGCTGGTTGTTGTTGGCTGATGCAATAGGGGTAAAGCAGATATATGTCTCTCAATGTCCAGCCAGCTATCCGGGGTTTGGTCCTTTAAAAACAATAATCAAAGCACAAACAAAGTGTATAGGGTTTTTTCAAGCAGTTATTCTGTATGCATACAAACCCAAACCACTGCCATCTAGTCGATTTCACCTCCTAGCCACACTATGGGACAGAGTAGAACTGCCCTATAGGGTTTCCAAGGCTATAAATCTATAGAAACAGACTGCCACATCTTCCTTCTGGGGAGAGGCTGGTGGGTTAAACCGCAAACCTTTTAGTTCACAGTCGAGTGCTCTAACCACTGCACCATTAGGGTGCCTTTTAAGGCTTTTAAGTTGTTATTTGCCGTCGAGTTGAACCCGACTCATAGCGACCCCTCCTTGGGTTTCCGACGCAGTATCACTATGGAAGTAGATTGCCCAACCTTTCTTCCAAGGAGTGGCTGGTGGGTTTGAACCCCCAGCCTTCTGGTTAGCAGTCAAGTGCCTTAGGCACTATGCTACCAGAGCTCCCAAGGCTTTTAAGGAGTAGAGGAAACAGCAAAAGTTAACCATTGTTCCATGGGACTTCTTACTTAATTGGCTTAATAATGTGTTTAGTGCTTCTGTTCTACCTTGTCTTAAAAGTTGCAAACAGCCATCCAAGGCACAACAATTGGTTTCTATATACCTGGAGCAACAGAGGAAGAAAGGGAGTCAGGAATAGGAGGATATGAAATGTGTGGCTAATTGTCTCTGTGTACAACTGTCTCCTTTGCTGTGAGACCAGAAAAACTGGATGGTGCCTGGCACCATTACTGAACATATTATTCTAAGATTCCCTAGAAGAAACATGATCAAAAGGGGAAAAACACAGAACAGAATTTAAAATTCTCATGGACTCTATCTACACTTTCTGAAGCCATAGAGAATGGGTGAACCCTTAGAACTTTGCCCGGAGATAATCTTTAAACTTTAAATAAAAAATATCCCCTGTATTCTTCTTAAAACCAAATAGTTTACCTTAACTAGTGGGGAAAAAAAAATAAATAAAAAAGCTCTGCCTTGAGCATTATGATCTTTTAAGAACTATTTATATGGGATCAAATTGACAACAGCACCTTGAAAGATTAGATAGGGACCTTAGAGGCAATGAGTTTATGTAAATGAGGGAAAAATAACTCAGAAATGGAAGGTGAGAATTGTCGCACAGCTTGAAGAATGTAATCAATATCCCTAAATTGTACCTGTAGACATTGCTGAATTAGTGTATTTTTTCTGTGTATAGTCTCAACAACAAAATAAATAAAATTTAGAAAAACAGTTAATCATTGGCTAGTCTCAACATGAGTGATTGAAATCATGACCATCTTTCTAAAATTATCTGCATCAGGTTACTAGATTGTTTCTGTGGCCCCATTCATTTGAAATTGCCTAAAGTTAAATTCTTTGCAAAGAAAAACTTTAAATGGCTTCACAGTTATCACAGATGTCTTATCTCAGATTTTATGATCCATATTATCTTTTTATCTGTTCTTAGACATATTTCACATTGGTTAATGACCTTTGTGAATGTCCCTACAAATTCAGAGGAATCTGTCCCTTCTTGCTCCTCCTTCCTCTCTTTTAACAGATCATATGTAGCCGTCGCAGTGTTGCCACAACATGCAAGCACTTTTCAAGGTATTTCTTGGTCATATTTGCTAAAGAACATAGAACAAAGCAAGTTATAAAGCCAACAGAGATAAGAGAGTTGGGAAAATACACTATGTCACTTAAGTCAACTACCCCACAATGCTGTTGTAACTATGAAAGCAGCCATAGACAATATGTACACATAGAACATAAAGAACATAGCTTTATTTATAAACACTGAAATGTGAATTTCATGTAATTTTCACATCTCATAAAACATTCTTCTTTTTGCAGTAAACCAGATTTGGCCCATAGAGCTACAGTTTGCCAATCACTGTTCTAGATGTTCTTTACGTTTCTTGATGTTAATCTCTTGTCATTTATGTGTATTGCTGTTAATTTCTCTCTATTTTTTTTTTTTTTACTGTTACTTGGCTTTGAATATTTTGTAAATTGTTTCACGTGTATTCATAATTGCTCATTAGAGAATTTTTGTGATGGCTGCTTTAAAATTCTTGTCCAATAATTCTAATGTCTGTGTCATCTTGATCTTGATGTCATTGATTGCATTTTCTTATTCAAGTTCAGAATTTCCTAGTTCTTTGTGTGATGAACAGTTTTGGACTGTATCGTATGTATTCTGAGTGTTACTTTATGAAAGTCTGGTTCCTATTAAATCTTCTAATTTAACATGTAGTCAACCTGTTTAGGTTCAGAATGCACATCCTGGCTCACTTTTGTGAACTGTGGTACAAATAACAATTTAGTTTACAAAGTCTCTGCAGTGCTATTCTGTTCTGTCCCACTTATACTTTTCCCTGATGATAGGACTACCCCTACAGTGTTTTGGTGCTGGCTGAGTATGGAGACGGTGCTGCTATGTGCTGCAGATGGGGACGAAAGAGGGAGTTTCGCCCATATATTCAGCTTGGATTCTCTCTCCTTCCTACGGAGGGCAATTGTTGTTGTTGAGTTGATTCTGACTCATAACCATTCCACGTACGCAGAGAACTGCTCCATAGGGTGTTTATGGCATGACTCCAGTGAAATGTTGAATAGAAGTGATGAGAGTGGGCATCTTTGTCTTGTTCCTTATCTTCAGGGAAAAGAATTCAGAATTTCCTCATTAAGTATGGTGTTAGATGTGGGGTTTTGCACATGCTCTTTTCTTTTCTTGTAATGTCTTTTACTGCTTTTGGGATCAAGAAAATATTGACTTGATAGACTGAGAAAAGATGTGTTCCCTCCTCTTCTATTTCTGTTTGGTACAATTCACCATTGAAACCATCTAGGCCTGCATGTTTACTAGTAGAACCTTCCAGAATTACTAATTCAATCTCCTAACTTGTTGTTGGTGTAGTGCCTAAGACATTTGACTGCTAACCAGAAAGCTGGAGGTTCAGACCCACTAGCCTTGGAAGGAAGGCTGGGCAACCTATTTCTGTAGTGATATTTATTTCACTAAAACCTAAGGAGGGGTCACTATGAGTTGGATTCGACTCGACAGCAGTGAGTTTGGTTTGGTTTGATTTTGAACTTGTTGTAGATCTATTCATATTTTCTATTGCTTGTGCATTTTTCCCCATATTTCTTCTTCAGTAATTTGTGTCCTTCTAGAAATTTATCCTTTTCATCTAAATTACTTAATACATGATTGTTGTTGTTGTTATGTGCCGTGGAGTCAGACCTGACTCATAGCGACCCCTCCTTGGGTTTCCGAGGCAGTATCACTATGGAAGTAGATTGCCCAACCTTCTTTCCTAGGAGTAGCTGGTGGGTTTGAACCGTCATCCTTCTGGTTAGCAGTCAAGTGCCTTAGGTACTATGCTACAGATGTAATTCCTTTTTTTTTTTTTTTTTCCCTGTAACGTTGGTAGTGATGACCCCTTTTTCAGTTCGGATGTTAGTAATTCAAGTCTTCACTTTTTTTCCTTATTCAGTCCAGCTAAATTAAATGAATTCTTTAGAGCTTAGCTATATATTTAAACTTTGTACAAAAAGAGATTTTTAAACGATTTTCAGTTTTAAACTCTTCTTCCAAGTCTTTAAGTTATTTTGTCTTATCTCATTGTTTGAGCTAATAATTCCAATGCTGTATTAAACATTGGCTTAGTTGCTTAGTGTGGAATGCATCTAGTGTTTCCCCTTAAGAAAAGTGATTATTTTAGGGTAGAGTATATATAGTTTATCATAAACAGGATGCATCTGTAAATTTCTGTTTTAAAATGTTTTAATCAGAAGGGCATTTTACATTCAATGTAGTGGCTTAATCATCCTTATTTCTGTCATGTGTCAATTTTAGTTGGTAGTTCTTCTTTAGCCCTCTCAATGGGAAAATAAAAATGTACCCCAGGCTCTCCCTTTTAAACTGGGAAAAAATCCAGTTCTGTCATTATAAAACACTTGTGATGTCACTTAAAAGATTAGTCACACAGAGCCCCTCTTCTTATTTCAAGTGGCATTACTCAATTTTCAAGTGGTTCTTGTGGCTATGTAAAGACTTCATTCCTATATGTGCCAAGGAACCAGGGAACCATGGTAGGAAAGAAGATAGATATCCTAGGCACCAGTGAGCTGAAATGGATTGGTATTAGTGATTTTGAATCAGAAAATCATCTGGTTTACTCTGCCAAGAATGACAAAATAAAGAGGAATTGTGTCATATTCATCATCAAAAAGAACATTTCAAGATCTATACTGAAGTACAGCACTGCCAGTGATAGTGTAATATCCATATTCCTACAAGGAAAACAAGTTAATATGATTATGACAGTTAGGATTGTGTGTCATCTTGGCTAGGCCCTGGTTTTGAGTGGCTGGGCAGCTGGATGTAGTTATTCCTCATCATGAGATTATAATCA